TATAAGAAATTTGAAAATTACCTTTTTATTTCAGACAAAACTATTTTGCTGTTTGTAGTAGTAAAAGTTGAACATAAGTAGTAAAAGACAAAAAGTTTTTCAAAATACTAAACTTGATGTATTCAAAAAGAACACGAAAAGTTGTCGAATTAAAAATAAACGTGTTTTAATTTAAAACAGTTAAAAAGAACAAATAAAAAGAAGAGGAAAACTGATGAAAAATTAAAAGTCTTTACAAATATTTGGTGTAAACAAAAGAAAAAAAAAAACAAGGCAGAAGAAGAAAATTTTTGTTTTTAATCCATAATACTACTCTCCAGTTAGCCGAACTGACTCTTTGTTGGCATAGTTGACTATCCGGAATCGTTGTCAGCTTGGCTTCCGGAACAACCTTCAAACATCACATCCTTCTTGCTGAACTATGCCCGAAGTACCCGCCCCGCCGCGCTGCTGCCCCGTTTCGTTGATATGCATATGTAAGACGACGTCCTCCCCTCATAGGACAGTGAATGAATGAATGACTGAGTGAGTGAGTGAGTGAATCAGTGAATGTGTACGTTCAGTTCAGATGTGATCTCTATAAACATCCGTCTTTCGACTTTTTTTTTCCTTTTTTCCTTTTTTTTGCCTGATTCTATTCATTAATAAATTTTTCGTATTGATAAAAAATATTTATAGCTATTTTCCTTTGTTTTATTAATTAATTCTTAGAAAAAAAATAAAATAAAATCAAAAATTAAGAAAAAAAATTTTTTTTTGATTTAAGCTTTTTCATTCTGTTTAAACTACATTTAACTTTTTGCTGCTTTATCGTTTCACAGGCATAAGTTGAAAGCAGAATATAAGGCTTTTTTTTATTCAAAAAAAAAGTAAAAAACGAAAACGATGAACTAATTAAGAAAAAAAAGTAATACCAGAAAACCACTAAAAGATTTCATATCTTTTTTTTTTTGTGGTTTTGTTTCGACATGTTACTTCGTCATTTGACACATATTTTTCCTGCTGTCTTCAATATTGATGTTGTTGTCGGTGTTGTTGTTGTTGCTGGATAAATTATTTGAGCAGTTAGCACTAAGACCTTATAAATTAATAATCAGAGCGACTGCAAGAACTATAGCTGTTATAGTCACTATCATACAAATATCGCTTCTCCATCTTGGTCTTTGTAGTTGCTGTTTGGTTGTCTTCAGACAAAATGATCGTTGCTCAAATCATAATTTTCTTTTGTCGTTTTCCTCTCAAACCCTCAACTTGTAATAAAAGACGAAGGCAAATATAACGCGACCACAATACAAAGTTACTAGCGTTCTCGTCATTAACAGTCTTGATTAATTTTTAAATCTTTTAACTGTTTTTTGCTTTTTCGTACATGGACACAGAAAGAAGAAGAAAAGGTTATTATGTTGAATGAGTTAACGACTGAATAGAGCAAGTGTCTTAAAATTACAGTATTGCATTATTTATTATAACACCACCGCTCCTTGTTTTCATATGATTTCTGTCAGCGGAGCCTGGAACTTTGCCGGGATTCAAGGTCTTAAGGTATACTGCGGATACATCGGTATACATACTGAGCTGGTAAAACCTTTGTCTTCTGCTTGTGACTAAGAAAGTTGTTGTTGTTTTTGCTTATCTTCCAAATTTGCATTTTTATTTCTATTTTTATTTTTATTTTTTGCCTTCTTTTTTCAATTGACTGCTGCAGAAATCCTTATGGGAATTGCTTCTTCTTTTTTTCTTCTTTATTTCTTTCACCTTCTCTTCTTAAATGTTTACCTTTCTTTTCTCATTACTTTTTTTAATTTTCAAGTTTTTTACTTTTTCTCCACTGGTTTGGTCATAAAAATTCAATATCTTTTTGCATCTTGGAATTCAATGTGAACAAATAAGAGAAGTTATGTTTTATCGAAGAAAAGATGTGTTAACAGTTTCTCAGGTGCATTGTAAGAAGTCAAACCAAAGATTAGTGATAAATAAACGAGTGGGACAAAGTAGATTTTGTGGAGACATTGCTAAAGGACGTTTACGTGACATCTATTATATTTATCATTTGAAAAAAAATTGGTATTTCAGATTTTTTCTGAATTGGAATTGGCTGAAGATTGATAGGTAAGGTCTAAATTTGTTCAAGTGCTTGTTAACTTACTTTTGTAATAATTATTGTAGCTAGTAAATTATTTTTTTGAGAAAAAAAATGAATTTTAGGAGCCAAAACTTCTTCCGAAGAGAAAAGAAAGCATAAAGAAAGAGAAGATGATTAGGTAGCGGGAGGTAGAGAGGGGTTGCGGAGCAAGGAAGGGACGGGTAGCGATCAAACAAGGGGTGTGAAAGAATGTAAAATCTCCAGGTTTTTCTCCAAGTTTTTTGTTTTCCAAATTTACATGGGACCAAAAGAGTCTTTTGAAAGGCACTAATCAACCTTTTTCTCATTACCCTTGCTTTTCTGCCAACAGTTATCTGTTTTTCTTCATTCTTTCGTTTGAATATCGCCTCTCACTCCCTTCTATTCATTCTCCTACTCCAGCAGACCAAAATTTCGGCTACCAGGAAGTGTGCTGTTTTATTATCTTTACAATGGATATCACAAAAACAGTTTATCTATTTTGCTTTATTGCATTACCTCATAAGTGATGATTTTGAATGCAAGAGCGTTTTATTAAAGGATTTTGTGGTTAATTACTGATTATCGCTGCAATATCATTTTACCTTCAATTAGTAACTGACTTGTAATATTCAACAAATTCTTCGCTTTGCTAATTATATATATATATATATATATATATATATATAT